CTGCAACTCTAATGTCCAAAAGAAAAAAACAGACATTAAGTTGCAACATTACACCATATTAGTCTTTTCTTGAGATAAAAAATCCACCGTCACGTTACACAATCATTGCTTGTGTCCTCTTTCACTGGAATTTGTTTTCATACAATGTTGGGTTTTGAATTTGCGTTTGAGGTCATGTTTAATTACGTTTTTATTTGTGCCTTTTTTCTGTCACTTTAATTTTTTATTGTTCATCTTCTTTCATTTTTTCATTTATTTCTCCTTTTTCCCTCCCCTCCCTTCTTCTCGGCCCTCCGTCCCGTACCTCTATCGCTGTTGTTTGTCCATTTCCTCATATCCTGTAGCCATCAGGGTCTGGTTGCCAGGAGCAACCTCTACAGTCGCCATATCAACAGCCGAGACCTCGGGCAATTATTGGCAGAACAGCAGAACCCCTTGAAGCTTCCAGGTAATGCACCGTTTGAACCGCAATCAACCATTTACCACGGCGCACCGTGAAGCGTTACGATGTGCCACAGCAAACCACATTAGTAAACCATTAGTAGCTGTCGTGTGTGCTTCCTCAGGCCTGAAAGCAGAGCTCAGTGAGAGAGTGTGTGACACAGGGGCAAACGCAGATGCAGTGGAACACAAACACACTTCAGAAAGGTCGGGCTTTTCTCACATAACCTTTGTGAGAGTCACTTTCACCTGGTGCTGCATGCTGTATTATTTACATGTGAATTGGAAGCGAATACTGAAGAAAACACCAGGGATTGAGAGTGAGGTAATGACTAGGCCTCCACAGAATCCACGCCTACAGAATTCCACAGAAAGCACTGGCGATTTCTGCTGAATTTGTTTGTTAATGAGGTTCGCTACGCCAAGCATCACTTTTATTATAGCTCATACTGAGGGTTAGGATTTGAGCAAATCATTAACCCAGAGCATGCAAATTTGCTGCATAATTCGCCCCATACTGTCATGCTTGTTAAATTTTTTTGGAGGACAAAAATTCTGACAGTCTCTGACCAAGTTTAGTGAAAAAAAGAAGTGCATTTAATTGTATTGAATATGCACTTTTCATGTACATCAGGTCTAGAAGTATATTTTTTATGCAATTGTACTTGCAGATAATATTAATGAAATAAAAGGTCGCTTGAATGCATTTAAAGAGACACACTTACACACAAGTACACATTTAAAAAAGCACTTTTAAGTTTGACATTTAAAGTATATTTTATAAGATAATTTTTTTTGTCATGCTTAAAAAAGTAACTTATTTTAATGTTGACCTAAAGCACGTCAAGTATTTTATAATTGTATCTTTTTTTTTATTAGTTTAATAATCAACATTAGATTTAAGGTTAATATATTTTAAATGTACTAAATTGCAATATTATTACAAATATGTAATCACAAATACATACAAGTTTCTGTGGAAATGACATTAAAGTTTATTTTAGTTTACCATAAATGCTTGTCAGTACATTTGGCGGTAAACTTTAACCATATTTCAAAGACAATAAAAGTAATTATGAAATTAGTTGTAAAATGCGTCCTAATCAAGTGGATCAAAAATACACTCAAAGTTCACATAATTGCATTTAATATAATTAATTAAATGTAAACTATAATGCATTTTCATATAACTGCACTTAATATGCAGTCAAGTGTTGAGAAATACTACATTCAGTTTGCACTTAAGTATATTCTTATGTTCATTTTAAGCACTCTTTTTAAGTGCACTTCTTTTCACAAGGGAAAACATTGATGTGAACATTTGATTTCTTAAGCTTTTATTTATTATTTGCATATTTTCAGTATGTTTTTCAGTTAGCCGAATGAAAAAAAAACAAGCAAACATGTAAAAATCGGGTTTATTCAATATTTTGTTTAATATGATCATGCTTACAGCTGCAGCTAAGAATCCAGTATTCTCAGATCAGTTTTAACATTTTATTATATCCAAACCATTTTGCATTTTTCTTTTACAATCAGTGCACACACAAAAAAAAATCACAAAAGTGTGTATGTTCTGTGTGGGCCTAGTTCTGACTCAAAACAGAAAATACAGTATGTGCATGTTCCTACTTTATCATTTTCTTTCTTCTTGTTCTGATACAGGTTTGATTTCACTTGCTGCTTCTCTTCTCAGCCTTGGCCTTGTTCTTAATTCACCCGAAATCATCTGCTTAATGTTCTGCTTCTTCCTCTCCATCTTTCATTGTTTTTCATCTTCTTTTCCAGACCGCATTTTCAAGGCCAGGTTGTGTCTCTTCCGACAATTGCCGTCGCCAAGAAAGATCATGTTCAGGAGCAGACCTCCATAACACCCCAGGACCCCAAAGAAGAGCTGCAGACCAAAGTGTCACAGAACAGAGCAGAGGACTGGAGGAAAGGTGGAGCGGCTGGGATGGAGAGGGGCGGCGGGAGAGCCGGATGGTCCTGGACGGTTGGGGAGAGCCGCTGTACGGCCCAGTGGGTCCGACAGAAACAAGAGTATCGCAGCACGCGGCCCTGGTGACGGAAGATGGTAAAGAGATAGTTCACCCAAAAATGAAAATTCTGTAATTAATTACTCACCCTCATGTCGTTCCAAACCTGTAAGACCTTCGTTCATCTTCTAAACACAAATTAGGATATTTTTGATGAAATCTGAGAGCTTTCTGACCCTGCATAGACAGCAACACAACTACCACGTTCAAGACCCAGAAAGGTAGTAATGATCTTTAAAATAGTCCATGTGACATCAGTGCTTCAACCTTAATTTTATGAAGCTACGAGAATACATTTTCTGCGCGAAAAAATTAAAAATAAGGAATTTTCGGACGTAGGACTTGGATGAACTTCGCTTTGTTTACAAGCAGAAGAATGCGTGAACGCACATTGAAGACTGACGTGGAAGAGAAGGAATAGTTGAATAAAGTCATTTTTGATTTCTTCGTGCACAAAAAGTATTCTCGTAGCTTCATAAAATTAAGGTTGAACCACTGATGTCACATGGACTATTTTAACGATGTCCTTACTACCTTTCTGGGCCTTGATCGTGTTAATTACATTGCTGTCTATGGAGGGTCAGAAAGCTCTCGGATTTGATCAAAAATATCTTAATTTGTGTTTTGAAGATGCACGAAGGTCTTACAGGTTTGAAACGACATGAGGGTGAGTGATTAATGACAGAAGTTTCATTTTTGAGTGAACTATCCCTTTAAGAACAGAAATGGACATAGCAAAAAAAGAGAGAATAATGAGGGGGAAAATGATTTTTAGTAATTTTTATTAAACCACAAAATTGATAAAGACCTTTAATGAAAATAACATCAGCAGCTATTTATAACTTTTTTTTATCAGTCCTATTTATAAACATTTCAGCTATTCATTTTATGGTTTGTGCTTTTATAATCACAATTTTATAATCTGATCTTTTATCATGTTTTTCACAAACAGGTCTATGCAAAAGTACAGACGTTTTTGTGGAAATTAAATTAAATGGTTGAACATTTGTTCTGTTTGATTCATTTTTATCGCTGCTCTCAAACAAACATAAATGCTCCGACAGTCAAACTGATGCTCATTCTTGTACACTGATCACATAATTACATCATTCCCTTAAGGAAATCATTTATATTATACACAAACAAACAGATTAAACCCTTGGAGAACATTTGACCAAGAACATTAATGCATGCGGTTCTTAGTAGCATGTCTACAGTAATAATACATGTACCGTCTTCAGTGTGTCAGTCACAGCAGACATCAACAGCCACTAAAATACATACAGCACATCACATCCTCTCATTCTCAAGCTGACATTTTTCACTATGTGCGTTCATCTGGAATATACATTTTAAAAAATATTCCCACTCAGATGATCAAGTGGACATTTGTGTGATGTTCTTCAGGTGTTTGTGCACAATAATAAGAATACAGTGCTCTTCAGATCATTTGCTCTTTAACTGAAGTCTTGTAAATGTACGCGTGTTTATGGGATGGTATTAGTGCTGGTGTCAAGCAGGTTCCTGCTCTGTGTCTGCATTTTAAACCTGTCAGCTTGTGACATTTCCCAGCAACACGCTCTACAGAGTGTCACTTAAGTATGTGTGACATTTACTGAATTCTACAGTTACCTAAAAAAACAACCAAAAACCCTTTTTAATAACATCAGTTCATATTATTTAGATTTAAAAAGGGCCAAACTCAGTGATAGACCTTTGATTTCCATGTCTTTAGTCACATTTTCTTTAAATGAATGATGTGTACAGCTTTAATAGGCAGTCTGTGATCATAAAATCACAATATGCTAATACACATTTTAACATTTTAAACTGGCCGTCTGTCAGGCTTTCGAGGAAGTTTTTTTAAAGTAATTGTGTTCATATTGCTTATTTAGATAACAGTCTATTTGAATTTTGTCTTGCTGAGAGCTTGAGTTTTTGTTTGAATATCTATTTAACTATATTATATAATTATTTATGGGAAAGTAAATTCGAGGAATGAGTCATTAGTGCTGCTTCTTTGTAGTCACAGTTGGAGTCAAAGAATGGTCTGACCCTAACGAGTGCTCCGGCCTTTCACTGAACAGCCCTTTCTTGCCAAACGTGTTTTTCCCTTTGTTGCCTGTCAACATGCCATTTAGTCCAGTGATATTGTTTCAAACTAGCAACTAAAAATCAAACTTGTAAAATGTTAGCACTTCTCACCATTGCATGACCCTTTAGAGCAGGGGTGCCCAACCCTGGTCCTGGAGATCTACCTTCCTGCAGAGTTTAGCTCCAACCCTGATCAAACACAACTGAACCAACTAATTAGGGTCTGAAGGAGCACTTGATAATTACAGACAGGTGTGTTTGATCAGGGTTGGAACTGAACTCTGCAGGAAGGTAGATCTCAAGGACCAGGGTTGGGCACCCCTGCTTTAGACGCTACACATTCAAGTTCATTACAATCGCCTGCTCGTCTGTTTCATTTTTTATTTTACTAAAACGTTCTTCAGTAGTTAACAGTGATTTTTTTTTTTCATCACAGAGACACGTTTGCCGTCTCCACTGTCAAGGCATGATGTCCGTTCAGTTTTTAGGATGACCCTGCTTTTGGACACTTGTTTTAATATGAATCCCTCAGTAGCGTGAGGTAGATCTCCGACTGGAGGAAACGGGGGTAACAGTCCATTTCCAGGAGGCAGTAGATGCGCCTTTGAGCATGTGAGAGAGCAGTGTGAGAGGGGGCTTTGAGGAGCTCTAGGGTCAGTTCTCTCGTCTTATTGTCCAGGTTCACCTAAAAGTGTTGGAAAGAAATTCACAGTTCACAAATATTCACACAAGAATGATATACTGAAGGATATTCAAAATGATCTTTGCTTTTATAACAGAGAGTGGGGACAGAGTGTCAAGCTCCCAAAAAGGCAAACAAATTAATTAATATATTATTTACATTTAGTCATTTAGCAGACACTTTTATCCAAAGCGACTTGCAAATGAAGACAATAGAAGCAATCAAAACCAACAAAAGAGCAATAATATGCGAGTGCTATGACAAGTCTCGGTTAGCCTAAAGCAGTACACGTAGCAAGGTTTTTTTTTATATATATATATATATATATATATATATATATACTGTATATACTTACGAGTACAAGTAGATAGAATAGAAAAAGAATAGAGAAAGCTAGTGTTTGAGGCCTTTTTTTAAGAAAACAAGCAGTTAGAAAATGAATAGAGAGAGCAAGTATTAGAGGGTCAAGTCAACAAATAGATAAAATAGAATGGGAGCACAACGAGGAGAACAACCATGAGAATCAACAATGAAGAATCAATGATTGCTAATCATTGTCTGAACAAGAGTCTGAACAATTCTAGTTTAAGATTAAAAGAAGTCTGGGATATTATTTGTGACCCTGGTGCACTAAACCAGTCATAAGTAGCACAGGTATATTTGTAGCAATAGCCAACAATACATTGTATGGGTCAAAATTATCAATTTTTCTTTCATGCCAAAAATCATTAAGATATTAAGTAAAGGTCATGCTCCATGAAGATATTTTGTAAATTTCCTACTGTAAATATATCAAAACTTAATTTTTGATTAGAAATATGCATTGCTAAGAACTTAATTTGGACAACTTTAAAGGCAATTTTCTCAATATTTAGATTTTATTGCATCCTCAGATTCCAGATTCTCAAATAGTTGTATCTCAGCCAAATATTGTCCTATCCTAACAATAGAAAGCTTATTTATTCAGCTTTCAGATGATGTATAAAACTAAATAAAAAAAATTGGCCCTTATGACTGGTTTTGTGGTCCAGGGTCACATTTTATTTTAGTTTTAAATATTATGGCATGACTTTCAATTAACCTCTCAGTTAAACTTAGGAGTGAGAGAAATTATATCAGATCTGTGTTCAAAGAGAAATTACTGGCTGAAATATGGCTGCATCTGTAGTGATGTCTCTAATTAACATAATTTGAGATGTCACTTATAACTCACACATATCGTCACATACCTGAGCAAACCACACCTGCGTCCTCTTTATGTCCACAGTCGTGTCCATTCGTAATCGCCGGACATTCCCATAAGCTCCTCTCTTTTCCAGTGCAGTTGAGCTCATCCATGTGTATGGGGCCTTTGCCCTGGCCGTACGGCTCACCCTGCCCGCTGACAGACACAGCGTACCCGCAGCCCAGCTGTGCACACACCACATGTGCATCGTCCATATCCCATCCATCATCACACACTGTGCCCCAGGAGTCCCTCCACACCTCCACACGGCCCCCGCAGCGATGACCGCCCCCCACCAACTGAACGGTAGCATTGCCTGAAGAAACAGATGCGACATTCAATCATTTAGACCAGGGATCCTCAAATCTGGCCCACGAGATCCACTTTCCTGCAGAGTTTAGCTCTAACCCTAATCAAACACACCTGAGCAAGCTAATCAGTGTCTTCAGGATCATTAGAAAATCACAGGTAGGTGAGTTTGATCAGGGTTGGCGCTAAAATCTGTAGCACATTGGCCCTCCAGGGCAAGATTTGAGGAACCCTGATTTAGACAATATTTTGTCTAAATTTTATTGACACACCATTTTCCTATTTAATACTGTAAAGATGCTTTGACACAATCTGTATTGTTAAAAGCGCTATGTAAATAAAGGTGACTTGACTTGACAATAAAGATAATATTTACATGATAAAGACATATAGAAACCTTCACATATAAGCAAAAACCATGTTTATAATACTGCAATTACTAGAATGTTTGTGAAGTTACATTTAGTCATTAAGCAGAAGCTTTTATCCAAAGTGACTTACAAATGTGGGCAATAAAAGCAAACCAACAAAAGAGCAATAATATGCAAGTGCTATGACAAGTCTTGGTTAGCCTAACGCAGTACACATAACAAGGTGTTTTATATTTAATATACATATGAAAAGAAACAAACTGGGAATGCCAGTGTTAGAGGGTCTTTTTTATAATAAAAAGAAAAGATAGAATAGAATAGAATAGAATAGAATAGAAAAAGAATAGAGAAAGCTAGTGATAGGGGCCTTTTTTTAAGAAAACAAGCAGTTAGAAAATGAATAGAGAGAGAGCAAGTATTAGAGGGTCAAGTCAACAAATAGATAAAATAGAATTAGAATAGAGAGTGCTAGAGTTAGAAGGTCAAAAAGATGGAAGAGATGTGTTTTTAGCCGTTTCTTGAAGATGGCTAAGGACTCAGGATTGAGTTGGGCAGGTCATTCTACCAGGAGGTGGAATATTATACAAAAAAATTTATATTATTTAAGTCTTTTAATTCATATGATAGACTCGTGTGAGGAAATGACCAAAATTTACTTTGCTTTTATAATACGCACCAGGACTATCCCCCCCCCCCCATTTAATATAAAGTGTATTATACCAAAATGCTATATTTTTTAGCTATACATTTTTTTTATATAGCTATATATTTTTTTGTTATAAGTTTTCTCAAGTCATATGATAGAATTGTGTGAGGAACTTACTTTGCACTAGGACTATCAAGCTCCAAAAAAAATAAATAAAGAAATACAATTAAAGACATAAATAAAAATGTAATTCATTTTTGTTTTTACTTTTACAATGTTCTATATATACTTTAGACTTCTGAAGTCATATGGCAGATTTGTGCAAGGAAAGGCCCGAAATTTACTTCGCTTTTATAATACGCACTGGAACTATCAAGCTCTAAAAACGAAAAGAAAAGAAATTATTACATAAAAAAAGTGCTATATTTTTTTAAGTCTTCTGAAGTCATGAGATTTGTGTGAAGAATTTACTTTGCTTTTAAAATAGGACTATCAAGCTCCAAAAAATAAATGAATAACATAAATAAAAAAAATGTTTTTAATTATACAAAAATATTTGTATATTTCTTTAAAGGGGTCATAGAATGGCCATTTTCCAAAAGGCTAAGTTTGAAATGTCTGTGGCATTATTGAAATTTGCAAAAATAATGACGTTGTCAGATGGTCTATTGCTATGGTACATTTATACGTTCAGCAGCCCCAGTCCCCATTTATTTTCATTGCATGAGAAAAACCAGCTTGGACATTTTGGAGGCAATATTTTTAATGCAGTAAACAAATTTGGATAAATCTACCTCTCTGGGAGCACCGGGCTGGATGTACGTCTCAGTAATCATTTTTGCCCGTCTCTGCAGGCTGAATTTGTTGGACTGACTGTACTGCTCACAGGCCGAGTAGAACTGCAGGTTTTCCTCACTGAACTCGGACCGCAGGAACGCTTCAAAGACTGTGACGCCCACTGAAGAAAAGACAGGTGAGAAGAGAAAGAACCGTAATGAACTTTGGGGGGGAAAAACTGCTATTTCTATTTACAAATGGGGGGTAGAGGCTCAGATGCCGTGTTCACATGCATGTTCTGCCATACACCCACACACATAACACTCGACACAAAAATCAGGAAAGAAAAAGCTTTGGACAGGGATATCTTGAGGGTTTATCTCACACCACATACCTTCTTTCCCTCTGATTTTCTCAAAACCCTTAAACTGCAGGTTGCGACACTCTGACGTGAGAAAATAGAAGTCGGATGGGGGCAGGGCTCTGGAGTTACAACATACTGCTGTTCCCACATTTCAACCAGTCCAGACACCAAAACACACTCACCACACAGTTCACAAAATCATTCAAATAAGAAATTAAATGCTGTATAACCCACACGGAAAAGTAAAAGAAATAAACTAATACATAAATAAATCTGGGAATAAATAAATGTGAAAATAAACACATAAATAAATAATTAAAAAAATTAAATGAAAACAAGTAAATACAAGTTTAAAAGAATAAAATACGTGTAAAAATAAATACAGAAAATAATAAAAGAAAAAAAATGTATTTTTGTTTTATCAAATAATTTATTCCTTTATTTTCCTATTATTACATTTATTTATTTATTCATTCATTCATCCACCTACCTATCTATATATATTTATTTATTTATGTGTTTGTTTTTAATTTCTGTAGGTTTAGTCCTCCATAAGCTATGTACTGGCATAAATAAATACGGCACTTCAATTTAAAATGTATAAGTAAAATAAATTATGGTATTGGCTTATTTTAAAAAAAATTCATTTAAAATAATGCAAAGCTTAAAAACTTAGTTTATAGTTACTGATAAATATAATTTCCATAAAATTCAGAATGCGTTTAATTTTTTTAAACAATATTATACGGTTTGAATGGTTGAGCCAATCACAGTCAACACTATAATTTTTGTAATAACTGCAAAAATATAATGAGATTATTTATTTCCCATCATGCTGTAGAAACAGACCAAAGGATGTTATATATTGGATGTCACAATTTTTTAGAAATGTTGCTATGTTGCTTTCAGAAATGTTGTACTATGGAAAATTCATGTAATATCAATTCAATATACTGAATCTTATGGCTTTGGTAAGTTAAAACTAATGTTAATACAACTAAATAAATTCTACAGTAAACTGAATATCAATTCAACAGATTACATGAAAAGTATGATACGGTATAATTTAAAGTTTTATAATTTAAGAGGTATCACAGCCTTAACATTTTCAAAGCTAAAAAAATATATTTACATTTCTAACAGACCTCTCTCTGAAGAACATGGGATTTATGTTTTTTTCCCCATTAAACAACACCCTATTCAAAGAAAGCACCTATTATGTTTATATGTAGAGTATTATTTTCCAAAACAGCAGTGACACAGAATAGACTGAATTTCTCACTGCATATTATACTTTTCCAAACTGTGTCAGCTGTGACTGCAAACTGTGCTTCATGTATATAAGTGTATTATTAGATTTGTATGAGGTCTGTCACACTGATAAACTACTTCCAATTAAGGGACAGAACAGAAATAATAATAATAAAAAAAACTGGTCAATACTACTTTTCTCAGTTCAGCAGCTGTCCAAGAGCTGTAAATGACGAGATGCAGTTAATCATTAAGTCCTATTAATAATTAAAAAAAAAAATTTTAATCACTGGAACCATGACGTCAGGTATCAAGCAAAACCATATCCGCTATTAGTCCACTGTTTACACATCACAATAAAAGCTTACAGTTTCTTAGAACTTGTTATGAGACATGCATTTCATTCTCACATTCGAGGTCAGCAATAATTATCATTGGTGCTTTCTAAGGCTTATTATTGCTTATTTATTATTGCTCCCAACCATATTCATTAAGTACAAAATACCCCAAAATCATGCAGTTCGCTGCTACTACTTCTCTAAGAAAGCCAACTAACATTTTTTTGCCTGAACCTTTCACTCAAGGGACTCGAATCATATCTAGAGACCTTGTGCTTGGACTCTTTTAACCCTGACAGCCACTCACAAAAGCCTGGCATCATGCTACAAACAAGCCCCACTCTCATTTCCTTCTGAAAATGTAACAATCTTGGTGGTTTAATATGTGCAATTAAACATCTGCGTTCTCAGCCTCTGGGGGAAAAGCTCATTATTCCATTATCTAGTTTCTTCATATTGTTTCATGTTCTTTGGGAATTCTCCGGAAACTCATGCCTGGAGCTACACATGAAAGTGGTTCCTCAATGTTAAGAGGAAGCCGTTTCAAGGGTGTTTCAATGATGTAATAAATGGGTTTCATCACTGAACCACAGAATTATACTGAACACAAACCAAGCTGACTTATACACAACTGTTCAAAAGTTGCATTTATTTAATCAAAAGTACAGTAAATCTATAGCGAAATATTACAATTCAAGCGTCCTTTGACCAGCTGCCTGGCGACTCGAGCGCTCACCTCTGCTTTCCAGCAAAGCATCAAGGGACTTGGCCCAACTTTCCATCTCCTCCCTGCTGAGTTGAGCTCTGCCGTGGCCCACCTGACTCCACTGCTTGAGGAAAGGCATTCGAGAACGCCTCTCTTTAGCGCTGAGAGAGACAAGAAGGTGAGAGGATACGTTACAAAGATATCCAGAAAAAAATGTGTGGAATCAATAACAGTGGGCCAAAATATAGGGCCGGGGAGGGGCTGTTTTGCAAGTGGCGGACAGAGAATAGGCCAAAAGTGAAATGAAGATGAAATTGAGAAAATATGTGACTGATTTAACCTGGTTACGTTCGCACTGTGCTCTGCACTCGCCAGATTCGAATGTGAGGACTGCGGTGAACCCTTGTGTGAAGAAAAAAAAAAAAAGGTAAGAGGTCACTGATATGCATAACACTGTTATGATGATATGACTTGATTCAAGACTTTAAGGAAGTATCATTTATACAAATGTTCCATGACTTAAACAAACGTCATGGAAAGCATTCTCACAAAGCCAGATCTATCAGATGCCAAAATATTTCAAAGAATGAACGTTTTTGTTCCACAGTATCTCTGCGATTTCTTGCAACAATACTGTAGTTAAAAAAAAAACACACACGCATTTGCATCAATAGTGTGATCCCCTCATACAACACCAGAACATTCAGTTCCCCTTTCAGAGCTTGCTTCTCCTTTTACTGTTTGGACAAAGCAACATTATATCTCAAGGGGTAAAACTGATTCAAAGTGAGCTTGACTAATACAATTGCATTCATGTCTTTGACTTCATCACACTTGGCTTGTGAGTTCTGAATAAGCAGTGCTGAAGTCCTGCTGCTCCAGGTGTATGTGAAAGACATCTTGTACTGTACAAAATATAAACAGGGTTCAACAATAAAGATGGTTCAGTGGCCCCCGGCCAGTGTGAGAAAGTTTCAGACCAGCTGAAGGAACTGTGTTTTGCCATATCAGTCCAGTGCTTACACTGTTATATGATCTTCTATTTATCGGTTTCTGTGATGTTTAAAGTACAATTTTTTCCCCAAATTCTGCCGACTTAAAGGAGGTACTGTTATCCAGCTGGCTGACAAATAAAAGCTTTTCGGATTGTCTTGGCCTCAGTTAGAATGGGTGGACAATGATAAATTAATCAGTGAGGTCTTGCGCTCTATGCCATAATTTTCCAAGTAATTATGAATATAGCTGTCATGGATTTACAATTTACAAGTGGTTAAATTTCCAGCTGTTGTTGCAAATTAAAACATAAGACCATTTGTTGTAAATATTTTTGAAACAAAAATGTAATATTAATATATATTGTAAAATAGAATTTTTTTTTTTAAATACACGTGTGTGGGTGTGTTACAAAAACAAATTAGAATTACAGTGCTGTTTAATATTTGGAATCTGTAATATTTTCTTTCTAGAAGAAATTAATTTTACTCAGCAAGGACACATTAAATTGATAAAAAAAATGACAGGAAATGTATAATGTTACAAAATACTTCAATTTAAAAAAAAGAAAATGCTGTTCTATTAATCAAAAATTTAAAAAGTGTCATGTTTCCACAAAATATGAAGGAGCACAATTGTTTTCAACTTTAATAATAATAATAATAATAATGTTTCTTGAGCGGCAAATCAGCATATTAGAATGATGTCTGAAGGATCACGTGACACTGAAGACTGGAGAAATGATGCTGAAAATTCAACTTTGATCACAGGAATAAATTACATTTTAAAATACATAAAAATAGAAAGCAGTTATTTAAAATTGTAATAATATTACTGTTTTACTGTATTTTTGATCAGATAAATGCAGACTAGGTGAGCTTGAGACGCATTTCAAAAATGTTTAAAAAAAAAAATGATACCGACCCCAAACTTTTGAACAGTAGTGTATGTTGTTAAAAACATCCAAAAATGCTATATTTGGAAAAATATATATATAAAAAAAAAAAAGTAAAAAAAATATTAATAATAAATCAACTGGACCAGAAGAAAAATCTTCATAATTGTGTCCCGATGAACTTCAAATTGTCAACATGTGATTTTTAAAATAGTTTTATGAACTTCATTAACTATACTCTAAAGAAAGTCTCCCAACTTACCTGTCCAAACAAACTTTTAAGGTGTAATTTAGCAGCTGTCAGTTTGGCCCGAGCTTGCTGGCGGTGATAGAGGGGAGGTTTTGGGGAGACGGGCATATGGCCGGATTTCAGTGTGGATGATGGGGAGTGGGGCTGGCCTTCACACTTTCCCACACTCTCAAAGCTGGCTTTGGCATTGCCAGTGAGCTGGCTGTCACTGTACGCTTTAAAACTCTCATTAAGGTTCGTCACTTTCAGTAAACCAGAGTCCTTCTCCAAATTGGACAGATTTTCCATACTAATGCTATAATCTCTCTTAAGCTCCCCCTTTCCAGCACTCCCAGACTTTGCATCTGGGGTGCAAGGATAGGATGCCGAGGCTCCATCTGGCAGATCATCCAAGCTGTCCGGGGTCCCATCTCTATCCCCCCAGGGCAGGAAATCCAGCTCCAACAACGAACCCTCTGAACTGAACTTACGCAGCATTATGCTGGATTTTAAAAGAAAGCAAGAAAGACAGAGAATGCCAGAGGCCTAAAGAAAGAACAACAAAAAAGACAAAAAGAATTACATTAAATATACATACAGTACCTATTCAGCTTATGTCTATCTAACTACCCATCACTGAGATAAGCTGCTTTATAGACAGACAGACAGATAGATAGACAGAACTATGGACAGACAAACAGACGGACGGACAGATAGATAGATAGATAGATAGAACGATAGACAGATATGCAGACAGACAGACAGACAGATAGATAATTGGTACTGGTTATAGGTTACTGCTTACTGTGCTACTTACTTCTAATATACAGCCTTATTTACTAGAATTGCTTTCTTGTAGTAAAAAAATATTAATGACACGTATAGATACGCGACTAATAGGCCTATCTAATTAATTTAGCGCAAGATCTTTTAACACATTCCCAAAGTTTTGCTTCAAAGTAAGAGTGTTTGTTGTAGACAACTACTGAGCTTGTTAACCTAGTTAAAAGGTTAAAATATAACCAGCGTTATGCTTTACATTTGTAACAAACGACTCAAATCAAGCCAAGACTCGAGGCGCTTCATGCCTGCACTGACAGAGACGCGACACGACGCGTCAAACCAGAAAGCTCCCATTATAATCAACGAAAGGCTCTCCGCTGCAAGCCCCAGCCCGCGCGTTCGTTTCTGTTATTAGGAGCGCTCCGGCGCGTCGCGTCGCGTCGCGTCGCGTCTGTAGCGCAGCGTGTAAACACACCAACGTGAAATCTGAGCACTTGAATATGGTGCATATGTCATATAAATATACCTTATTTTAGATCCTCTTCTCGCCTTTTCATGACAAATCCTGTACGTGTCTGATATCCGAGCGACTCGGAGTCGGCTCGTGTTTCTAGCGGAGTCCGGGTTTACACACAGCGACTGGATCCGAAGCGAGTCTCCGTGTGGCCGGCCGTCAAAATCACGTCTAGCTTGTCTCTCTTTTCACTTTACTCCTGAATGACAAAAGCAACGCCTATTTTCTTTTTGTCACACCCATAGTTCAGTCTGGACTTGCCCTCCCTACATACTTGCATATAATGACACAGAGAGCGTTTATGGGTAACTATGTCAAAATACCACAGCTACTAACTTACAGATATGACTGCAGCAACGCTGTGGTAACTTTATTAGCCACCGCATGGCATGTAACAAATTACAGAACGATTGTGTAAGCCTCTAATACTATTTGAAGAAGATAAAAGATTAATATCTTATTGTTTTGCAGTAGTAACAATAATTTCAGTAATTATGATTGGGCGTAAACATGGCACAATTTTACAAGGAAACACATAACAGCTGGTTGACAATAGGTGCCTCCCTGAACGATAACAACTTTATTTCGTTTTTGTATATTATATTATTATACTATCATGTTTTGTTGTATTAATTCCTGAAGGATCCCTACTCGTGATAAATCATGTTTATAACAGGTGTTTGCTTGTTCTCAAACGGCGCCATCTACAGGCAATGCGTAGTTTTATTTCATGGAAGCACAACAAGAATGCCATTTTGATAGGATTGGCTATTCTGTTTCTTTGATAGGATGGGCTATTCTTATGAGTTTTGGCCTATTATTTTATTTGACACAATATGATTTCATTGAAATTAATAGATGAATAAAAAAACATATGATTTAATAGAGCCGAGAGACCTTTAATGTGGGACTTTTATTTAGGCATTTAGGATTTTCTGCACGTTTACGAGTGCAATTTGTTCAGTAGATGGAGCAGTTACACAACGGATGGTTTTTAGAGCCATCAAGCTGGATATCAAGATACCAAGAAGTATCAAGATAATACTGAGAAATAGCCTATTTATAATCTAATTAAATTCTAATAACATATTCTGTTCTTGTTTTGTTTCATATAGGGTTGTTTTGGGTTCAACCTGTTCTTACTATCTTAAAATAGTTCATCCATTTAGCCTGTTTATATAAAGATAAAACACTGAGCTTCTATTTGCAATTAAAATAATTTAATTTATAACAAAAAATCTCTCTCTCTCTCTCTCTCTCTCTCAGAATGTCTGTGATATGCAAATAAAAATCATACACATTCACAATTACATTACAGTCACCACATTCATCACTGGTTCAGTATGTCTGTTGCTACATGAGCACTGAGCTGTGAGTTTCTGCACGGCCCATGAGCCGCTCTGTCTACAGGGGTGCTGTGTCTTTGCATGGGTCTCCACATGGGGTCCCTCAGTTCCAGAGCCAGACAGAGCAACAGTCATAGTTCCTTCTCCCAAAAATGCATTGCACTTTAGCCTTGAAACAGATCACAAAGTCTCTGAAGAGCTTTGCATCGTGGTGCAAGAAGAAATGTTGCGTGACTGAGCTGTCACTGAGCTAGACATGATCTTGAATACTAATGGCAATGTCACCAGTAGTACTCATACTAAAATAACTGATGATATGTAGTATGTTAATCCGAGTTTTGTGTAAAGACCTCAGCACTAGCAGTGCCCTCTGAACTCCATATTGCAGCTATTATATAGTGTGCAATTTTGTGCTGATATTTGTAATAATTTCTTGTTCTGTGGATATTTCATCTCACAGTTTCCAAGTTCCAATGAGGCGAGGTGCCGCAAGGCCTTGCAAAACCGTTTGTGTTCACTTTTATTTACTGTATGAAAAACTGCTGATTAGTAGTTTAGAGTTGTTTCATAGTCTAGTAACTTTACAGAGAAGGCAATAACAGTGTGACTGATCTTTTGATTACTTTGTTGGTGAAGATTCATTCAATGAGAATGAGAATGAATGATGGTCGGTATGTGATGATATAGAGATAAGCCAGTTTCGTTATTGACTAGTTTATAAAAACCAAGTGATTAAAATGATTGATTTTATCACATTGTGAAGTTCAGAAAGTCAAATGTCTTGTTTGATGAGGGAGGTCATGAAGTATATCCGTCATTCATGAAGGATATCAATAATGCAACTGCTTTAAGTGCATTATTCGTGAGATTCAGTGGCATTTAGATTGGCATTAGAGGTTTATGCTGCATTTACCTTCTAGTTTACATCCTTAAAAAGACTAATTATGTAGAAACCATAAGCAGTACAAGCTTATTTCAACAGTGTTCATCTTGAAGTGGAACTCATCACTGTGTTTTGCCAATTTGCCACAATAACTCTGTTTCAGTCCCAGTGTGTTGCTGTATGAGTGTACGCACTGTGACTTAAGAAACGTTTTCCCTTCTGTCACGTATTTCTGTCGACTAAACCGGCGATGCCATTAATTTCTGAACTAATCATACTTTTGAGTCGGTTGTTTCTTTTTCAGCCAAAAACAAAACGGTGAATCGATTCACCTTCGTTCAGACGTTCACTCACTGAAACATCTGAAGCTGTTGTTGAAGCCTAGATGAAGTGGATATTTACCTACAATCAAAACAAAAGGCCACTTTTAAGAGGTAACTTTGAGAAACCTTAAGCTACTGTTGTGTCATGTGAACACACAAAATTGTTTTAGTGTCCACCTGCGCTGTTTTTCAGTTGTTTTCCTATGTGGATTTGCTATAGATGGATGTCTTTGACCATTGCATTGCGTTTCTGTGGTTTTTAACGTTTTAAACATAAACATTATAATCTTAAAACTTTGATCATTTGGTCTGAGGACGGTCTCTCAAGTCGTACAGAACATAAGTCATAATTCCTGAATTCATACATTTTCTAATTAACAGCAATTACAGTATAATTGGCTGTCATTTAGATTCTTAGTGCAAAGATGTTATTTTATGTTTTATCAGGCACAGCTTTGAAACCACCTGCCTAATATTGTGTAGGTCCCCCTGGTGCTGCCAAAACAGCTCTGATACGTCGAGGCATGGACTCCACAAGATCTCTGAACATGTCCTGTGGTCTCTGGCACCAAGACATTTGGCAGAAGATCCTTTAAGTCCTGTATCAGGTGGGGCCTACATGGATTGGATTGGTTTGTCCAGCACTTTCTATAGATGCTGAATCAGATTGAAATCTGCAGAATTTGATGACCAAAGAAACACCTTGAACTCTTTGTTCCTTAAACCATTCCCGAACATTTGTCAAAGCGCTGCCTCCACCAGCCTGCCTTCTTCCTCATTCTTCCACTTTCTCATCTAAACAATACACACGCACCCAGTCATCCACCTGATCTAAAAGAAAAATGTGATTTATCAGACCAGGTAACCTTCTTCTATTCCGCCATTGTCCATTTCACATGCTCACATGCCACTGGGCTATGCAGACCCATATGCAGCAAACTGCCATACACTGTGTGTTCTGACACCTGAAGCAATTTGAGCTACAGTAGCTCTTCTCTGTGATCAGACCAGAGAGGCTAGCACCAGGCTGAAATAAGCCTGCATTGCATCTGGTTGCCATGACAACATAACAGGACCATGCCGTTGAGTGACAGTGTGCCTCATCCAACTTCATCTAAATCCTGTCATTGACTGTCCAGCCCTAATAAGCTAATATGTTTGCAAAGTCTTTCTGTAATTGCAATGCTCTCCAAAATGTATAATGAAAATTGTTATATGTCTCACTGCCCAATGACAGTCAGTCTTACCTCTGCTAACATCTTACTTACATCTACTGAGTGGCATGTTGGAGAGGGGGTAGATCTTAAAAAAGTCAAAAGCTGATTGGTTGTCCTAATGAGTGAACTGTACGATGGCAGTTTTTAACATAACTGACAAATTGATAAAGTCAAAACAACAAAGCTAAGCTTTTGGCAAATGAACAAAACAAATCAACTGGCAAATGTTTTTTTTTCTCAAAATGCAATTTTAAATATGCATGATATTAATGTACTATTTTATAATTTTAAGTATATTTTAAAACTGAACCGTTTTAAAATGGCTATCATTTGTCATTAAAATGCATTAAAAAGTTATTTATTTCCATTTTATGTGAGAATTAGTAACTAAGCTGATCATTTATTCCTTCATTTTATTTATGTGTGAATAGTACTCAATGTGTTGATGTAAAAAGTTATTTTAACCTTCCTTGCTGTGTATTTCATTAAAATGAAAGTGTTATGTACTTATAGACAAAAGCTTATAGACAGGCTTATAGACAACAAATGTAAGGTTCATTATTAATATTTCACAGATTGCTTTATGCAAAATAAATTTTTTGATACATACCATGTATAAATGTGTGGTAGACATGACAAAATAGTGAAATAAAAAATTAAATATAATAAAAATTATAATATTAGTTTTTCCTCCGAGGTTAGTATCCCCTTTTAACAACATACCAATGTTTAAGCAAAAGATTAACTTACAGATTAACATAGCCTACAAATGAAGGTGGTTTTATAAAGTAACACGAGAAAACATGATTGTTGACTTTTGCTGACAAATAAACAGGAATATCAGGGTCCAGGTAAAATGTTAAAAGAGTACACTGTTCATTTATATACAGTTGCAATCAAAATTATTGAACCCCCTTCACCTGCCAGACATTCTGCTGCCATGAACAAAATTTTATGAAAGCAATTTAATCAAGGCATCAGTATTATATTATAGCAAGTTTATTAATACACATTTCATTTGAGTGATTCTGAATATACAAAGTTTAAAAAAAAAAAAATATATATACATATATATATTCATATACAAAATGAATGATTCTGAGCACATAAAGTTATTTAAAAAACATTCAAGTACAAAATTATATCCTCCAATATATCATTGCCTCTAATTGCTTACATAAATTGCTTTTAAGTGCTTTTACATAATTTTTTTAATACTATTTACATTGCATTTACATATGTGGCTGGTCACCATATGCAAGTAATACTGCCAGATGCAGATATGACTGCCTCAAACCAAGGAGCCAGAAGCTACCAGGGTTTGGCAGCCTCGCAGGATGCAAAGGGGAATGCATTGAGGGACCACCCAGACACCCGATGCTAAACTAAGGGGTGGAGAGGCCAAGACCGGGCACTCAGTGACAGCCGATGCAGAGACCTCTGGGACAGCCGTGGCAGGAGAGGCTTTCATAGGAACCTCTGGGACGGCCAAAAGAGGAATTCTGGGACTCTGACCATGACATGAAGCTCTGTCATACAGACGGCTGTGAGAGGGAATCGTTGCACTGTCCCTAGGCAAGTAATATCGGCAGACGCTAACATTACTGCCACAAGCCAAGGCGCCAGACGCTACCAAGGCTCGCCAGCCCTGCAAGATGCTAAGGCACGGAGGGATCGGCACTCATGTCAGGCCACCAGACGCTAAGCTGACTTGAGGAACTCTGGAACTGTGGCAGTAAATAGTGCAAATTATATTTACATTTAATTTGCACTATTTAAATTTTCCTCTTTACGTCTTGTTCGGTGACCTGGAACAATAGACAAACAACATACAAATAAACATAATTTTTAAAGAACAGACATTTTTAGGGAAAATGTAACGTAATGTAATGAATATATCTTAAATCATTGTAACTCAATACCTTAAACCATTTATGTAGCAGGATTTCCCTCAGATCAATCCGCTGGCTTGGGTTTTGCTGCAGGAGAGACTGAATCAGGTGGCAGCAATCTGTGCAAAACCGATGAAAGAGAGGAAGAGACGAGAGTCAGATTGTTACTTCAGACTTCTTTACACAGAAGGTATAATTCCTGTATTATCCACATTATCTTACTTTTATAAAGCTACTTGGCTTGTATGTTACTTTGCCAGCCTTGTTTCCTTGTTTTGTATGATTGAACTACAGTTCGTCTTTGTTGTAATGAATGGCATCTTACCGTCCAGCAAGCCAGGCTCAGACCATATGTCGTGCTCAATCGTGTGTAGGTCTCTGGGTTGTGGATAGCGTCCACACATCATGATGAATAACAGCACTCCCAGAGACCACACAGTAGCTGGTCTCCCGTGGTACTTGCGCCTCACGCAGTACTCAGGAGGGAAGTACTCTCGTGTGCCTGAGGAAAAAAGATTTTGCCTGATGGGTAAGCTTGAAATACTACAGCATGTTTTCTAATATTTGAAACATGCTAAAAATATATGGTGTTATTTAATAAAAAAAAATAATTTCCCCAAACTACAGGTTTGATGCATAATACATACCATATAATTTTTTATAGCCAGAGTCTTTCAGGAGATCCCCGCACCCGAAGTCGATCAGCTTGACCTCGAGGGTTTCGGGGTTCATCAGTAGGTTCTCCAGCTTAATGTCACGGTGAAACACTCCTCGTTGACAGCAGATGTGAGCGGCCATCGTTGCTTGTGCCATGATGAACCGTGCTGTTTCCTCCTTGAGGATGCCACCGTGACGCCTCAAGTAGTTCCACAGATCTTCGCAGGGTGAGGGGCGCTCCATGACCATGATGTAATATTCAGGCTGGTCCTGCCAGTCCAGCAGCTGAATGATCTCTGGAGCTTTGGGCTCCCTGTTGACCAGGATTAACAGGCCGACCTCTAATGGAAGGGGTGTGGGATGACCAGACTAGAAAAAAGATCACTGTTAGATGGAGGTGCATCCCAAATAAGGATTGCACTGAAAAAAAAACAGCAAGCATTGCCTACTTACAATGTTGATATATTTCATGTTCTTTGGCTTTCTGGCAGTTTTCACTGCCACCTATAAAACAAAATGTAACACTGATTACAGTTACATTCAGGGTTTAAATTGGGCCGGGGCCATCCGGGGCTGAGCCGGATTCCAGGCTGAGCACATAAATTCCAGGGCTCGACATTAAAGGTGGGGTAAGCGATTTCTGGTAGCCAATGTTGACATTTGAAATCACCAAAACAAACACGCCCCTACCCCAAAAGGGTCTCGCCCCTATTTTGATAGCTCCACCCCACATTTCTCCTCCATGTCATGAGTAGACACGCCCCTTACTGCTGATTGGCTACAAGATTGTTTCGCTACTCGGCCCGAATCAGTTTTCTAAAGCGTTTTTGAAAAATCGCTTACCCCACCTTTAACACTTCATTAACGGCAGACAAATAACATGATTAAAACATCAGTAACCAAAAATAACTATATAAATACCAAAACACAAGTATTATTTAGATTTTATTACATTTAGAGTAAGTGGCGAATAGTGGCTATAGCTACTGTATATAATGCATCTATGACGGAATACGGTTGTGCTGCTGAGGCGAGGCTCACACAGTCTCTCCAGGAGAAATCAAAACGCGCAACACTAAGAAACTCAGCATCCCGAGTTGAAAATGGAAAGTTTTTATATTTAAAACACAGCTAGTTAGGCAACATCACACAACGTTTTCACCATTACGACTCTTTAATAGTTCTATAAACAGTTCAATATAAAAATACAATAATATTTGGTCACTTACATTTTAGGCGGAACACAGCGCACCTCACAGCAAACGGCCGATTCATTGCTGATTGATTCCGTGTTTTGAACGAATCGGTTGAGTGAGTCAAAGTTTCATTAGCCCATGCATTGCCATATTCAAATAAATGTTTAAAAATAAAAATGCTAATAATTGCCACATTCAAATAAAGATTTTAAAATGCAGGCTAAATGTCTCTAATTAAACAAGTATATGTTCAGTTAACAATTAGCGGTTCAGAAAACAATTAGCGGATATGCATATAAACAGCCTTTTAATTAACAGAGTAGAATAATCATGACTGATAGTAAGACATGCAAACGTAAAAACAAAACAAAACAAAAAAACTGGATGCAAGAACAGCTGTTACTTCTTGCCCAACTGGTTAATGAAAACAAGGATATAATCAAAGTTAAATTTGTAGTTGGGGTAACCTCCAAAACCAAAGGCTATACCTTTTTAAAAGGTCATTATCATCACATGTTTCTCAAATGTTTACGTTCTGAGGCAGATTGCCAGCAACAGCCATTTTAGGATAGTTTGTGGCTTGGTCTTGGTCTTCACTACTCCTAACGTTTCACAGATTTAGGAGCTAGTTTTTGTGCTAAAACACTTTGTGAAATACTCTTAGAGCAAAAATTTAGGAGTCCTAAATTTAGGACTGACACGCCCATTATTTGTCAGATTTTCTCCTAAATCGTCGAGTTATTAGCTACTTTTAACCTGTTTTGTGAATACGGCCCTGATGAATTTGCCATTTGAACGAATCGCTTGAATGAACGACTCACTCATTAAACGCTCACTACTGACACCTACTGGCGTTTTAATTTCGTTGAAAAGTATCATTTCCACCATCATTTCTTGTTTGTATATTCAAAAATATTTCAAAGAATCTCATAATATTATTTAATGCAGTTGTATTTTTCAGTGTAAATGATTTCATTTGATAACGTATAGATAATCACATTATTATAACTGAATTTATAGATCAAATTTCAGGAACTGCGAATGACAAAACTGCGAAAACTCACACCTCAGTGCATTCTAACACGTATGACGTAATTAAAGCAGCGCACACGAACGTTCCATTTTGTGTTACGTCATCAATGGACAGCGACGCTTTGGAATGCGCGTGACACCGAACTCTGGGCATGTCCCTTGGGCATTCGAGAGCGCGTGCACGCGACAGGAGATAAGTGCGTGAAACTGGCTCGGGTCTAAAGTGTTAAACGTTTCATTGGTGCAGAGATGAGTAGGCCTATATGCATTTTGTAAAACGTTTGCAACTGCTTTTTATCACTTAATTAGAGCGCCACAATGAAATGGTCATATATTGCCAAGTATTAATGTACAAAATGTGTAAATACAGCTCTGTAACAACACTTTACTTTTATTTTTACAACACTATGTTGTAGGCTAAGTGTGTCCTGTTGGATAATCAGAAGTTCTACACAGCCATTTGAACACCTTGGGGCCAAATACAGGACATGCAGTATATCATGTAGTCAAAGTAGACAAGTTCAAGACCTTATGGTGGTATTTTCCTGCACCAACCCTACCCCTAAACCTACCCCTCACAGGAAACTTTCTGCATTTTTACTTTCTCAAAAAAACTCATTCTGTATGATTTATAAGCTTGTTTCCTCATGGGGACCTCAAAAATGTCCCCACAAGGTCAAAATTTACTAGTATTACTATACTTGTGGGGACATTTGGTCCCCATAACGTGATAAATACCAGGTACACACACACACACACACACACACACACACACACACACATGTGCACATGCCATACATTTTTGCCTGCAAACGCACAAATAAATATAACTGGATGACATCCTTATTAGGACAACAATATAATAAGTAAGCAAAGTCTTATTTACAGAAGGAAACTTGGAGTTTGGTTGTGAAGTTGGAGGTGTTTATGTAGGACATAAAAGAAGGAAAAAGTATCAGTGTACGATTTAGAGCATAAAAATACAAATAAATCACTTTTAAATGTAGAAATTACATTTTTACATGTATTTATTACAATCACAAAGTTGCATGTATCGATGCTTAGGTCACTTTCTCGAAACTGTTCACAGAACAGCAGTCTATGTGCGGATCCTTTATCACTGCTTTGACGCAAAATGTATTCAATGATGACTGCATCTTTCAAATTACATGAATCCAACAGGCAATTTGCACATTTATAATATTTTCAAAACTGTTAAACTCGATTCAAAACCTAGCATTGCACAAACCCGAATAAAGACAGCAGCTTGCTAAATGTGCCGACAGTAGCCTAATACCAAACTGAAATATATTCTAAATCTAAAAATGAAATACTAGCAAAACTATTGGATGTAGTTGATGTAATCTTTGAGTTTTATTACCATCTGTACAGAAAGGGACACCTTAGTAATAATTGTGTAATGCAAACATGACCATGCAACATACACGGCAGTGCATTCTAACTGTAGAGAGTGTCATTTGTGTTTTGTAAGGAAATTTAACAAAAGAAAGCATTGTATACGAGTGTGTTTTTTAGGCCATTCGTTGTTTTATAAGTGACAGAGTTGTTGGGTGACTAGCTTTGCTAGTGTTATGGAAGAACGAGTGGATTTGAGACCTGCATGAAGTGTTTTGTTAGTTTTAGGCCTAGTAGACTACATTTTGAATGCTGTGCCAAGATGGAAATCGGTTGAGTTTTGAAATAGTGATCTAACTATTGAGAAATGTGTCCTAAGTGATTGTAAAAATCTGCAATAGACATTTAAAGCTGTTTGTTTTAATGCTATTTTAAAATGTAGCTAAATAAAACAACGAAACAGTAAATTAATAAATCATTTAGCAGCCAAAAATTATTTTTTTGTCCGTGCACTAATTGCTTTTCTTTGTCGTTTCGTCGGGCTATTAAAAACAATGGTATAAACAACTGGACGTGAGTTTTCCAGAAGTTTCCTAGCAACCGCGGACGCCGAGCTGTCACTGTCTGCGGACATTTTACTCAGCTCTCCAGCGACAGAAGTGCAACTGCTGTAATGGACGTACTATCTGAAGCGAAGTCGAACCCGCTTTCCACGCTGTCAGTATTCAGCTTTATACCCCCCAGAAGGACAGAGCCCAAAGAAATGCGATATTTCAACTGCAGCCCCAAGGTAAGAGGCATTGCTCTTTCAAGTCCTCCTGCAGCCACTACGTTTATCACTTTAAACTCAGGTTTGTTCATCAAAATGCCATATTTAAACGTTATTTATAGTGGAAATAACTTCTTCACGCCTTAAAATGGCTTGAATGTAACTGTACACCCTTAGCTCATTTACCATGCGCGGAGGACTATGAATATGCAAAGTAGTCCCCGCCTCCATTCAGTCACATCAGCGGACCTACTCACTCGATCAATACACACTCCACGAAGACAAGTATCAGCTGAAGATGAATTCAGCCATTTATGTTTGAACCAGATTTCTAGCAAGTAGAGAAAGAGTGAATTACACATGGCTGCGACAAGTCACATGACAAGAGTAGTAATGTATTTTGTGTATCGCTGTCTACAACCGACACGTAACGTAATTGATATCATTTGACTTTAATACGTTAGTAAACAACTAATCGTGTGTTGCTTATGTTGCACAAACAGGGTTGCCAGGTTTTCACAAAAAACAAACAAAAAAAACGCCCGATTGCTACTCAAAGCTTGCCCAATCGCCCAAATCCGCGGACTTGGGAACGTGTTCCAATAATATGCTAATGATATTACAAGCCCCGCCCCACAACTTGACAGGATTGGTCACATGTTTGTAATGGTAAAAATGGGGTTTGTAATGGTAAAATGTTTCAGATCACATTTCTAAGACTGATATGATTTGTCTTTAAGCATATTAAAAACACCAGAGAGACATAAACAATGTTAAAAACTTGATTTTCACAACAGGGGGTCTTTAAAAAAAGCAGCAACATGAAATGGATGTCTTGACATAAAATATCAATCCTTGTGGCATTTGCAAACAAGTGTTCACTAGGCTATGTATGCGCAATAAATACATTATAGGCCTATTTGCAGTGTTGGGTAACTCATTACAAGTAATGCGAGTTACGTAATCAGATTACTTTTAACTAGTAACTAGTAAAGTAAAGGTAAGAGGCATTGCTCTTTCAAGTCCTCCTGCAGCCACTACGTTTATCACTTTAAACTCAGGTTTGTTCATCAAAATGCCATATTTAAACGTTATTTATAGTGGAAATAACTTCTTCACGCCTTAAAATGGCTTGAATGTAACTGTACACCCTTAGCTCATTTACCATGCGCGGAGGACTATGAATATGCAAAGTAGTCCCCGCCTCCATTCAGTCACATCAGCGGACCTACTCACTCGATCAATACACACTCCACGAAGACAAGTATCAGCTGAAGATGAATTCAGCCATTTATGTTTGAACCAGATTTCTAGCAAGTAGAGAAAGAGTGAATTACACATGGCTGCGACAAGTCACATGACAAGAGTAGTAATGTATTTTGTGTATCGCTGTCTACAACCGACACGTAACGTAATTGATATCATTTGACTTTAATACGTTAGTAAACAACTAATCGTGTGTTGCTTATGTTGCACAAACAGGGTTGCCAGGTTTTCACAAAAAACAAACAAAAAAAACGCCCGATTGCTACTCAAAGCTTGCCCAATCGCCCAAATCCGCGGACTTGGGAACGTGTTCCAATAATATGCTAATGATATTACAAGCCCCGCCCCACAACTTGACAGGATTGGTCACATGTTTGTAATGGTAAAATGTTTCAGATCACATTTCTAAGACTGATATGATTTGTCTTTAAGCATATTAAAAACACCAGAGAGACATAAACAATGTTAAAAACTTGATTTTCACAACAGGGGGTCTTTAAAAAAAGCAGCAACATGAAATGGATGTCTTGACATAAAATATCAATCCTTGTGGCATTTGCAAACAAGTGTTCACTAGGCTATGTATGCGCAATAAATACATTATAGGCCTATTTGCAGTGTTGGGTAACTCATTACAAGTAATGCGAGTTACGTAATCAGATTACTTTTAACTAGTAACTAGTAAAGTAACGCATTACTTTTTTAATTTACAAGAAAATATCAGAGTTACTTTTCTCAAAAAAGTAATGCCAGTTACTTTGTTTTATCATTTATTGACTGACAGCTCTCCTGTCCCCATATTGGGAGAAATGGGGAGTAGGCTACAGAGGCGTTGTGTGCGCTGTGTGAACATGATGTTACTGTAGTTCTAGACTAAATGTGAATGTGCATTAATTCATCCCACTCACAAAAAACAGATTTAGTATTCATCAAAATGAATTAAAACAGTGAAATGCAAACTCAGAGTATGACGCAAACCTGCAATAATTAAATATGTTAAATAACACAAATGTATCTAATCCCATTTTATTAACCAATGTCTTTGCTGCTGATCCAGTTCAACCATACTAATAAGCAAACATG